AAAAAAAAAAAAAAAAAAAAAAAAAAAAAAAAAAAAAAAAAAAAGACCCACATCGGGGAGCTCAGAGTAACAGCTACAAGTGATTCGGTTCCAATTATGGTTTGGGTAAATCAAAATGCCACTTCCTGAATGGCAAATGGAAATCCTTTTCATAAAAAGAGTAATAATGTTAAAACTAGACTACATAATTGATTTGCATTAATATTTTGGTATCGTTCTTTTATAGTTTTTCTTGTATTTAATTAACTCAAGTTCATTGGGAATTTACATTGGTATCCTAAGAAATTTAGGCCTTAAAACACATTTTCCTGGCTATCCTATACATCAAAAGATGAAAAGGTTTTAGTCAGTCAAATCCCACCCATAGTCACCGTACATTAATGAAGCATGGTAATATTATGATTTATTCAAGTTTTGATTTAAATTTGTTCGACGTACCCAGAGATTGTATTCTTCATTGGATTGAAGGAAGATGTGTACACAAGAATATCACCCTTTGCTTTCTCTACAGCTTCTTCTTCACTTAGGCCCACAACGGAGAGAGGAGGTATACTGCAAATTAGGCGGAACAAATTGGATTATATATCTATTTAATGGATAAGAGAATGTTCTCTGTGAAAAAGTGTAATAGAAGCATATGCAACAGAATAATGCGTATTTAGAGATCTAATAATAGATAAATTTACTCGAAAAGTCTAAGTGGACATAATGATATCCATTATATCTTATTCCCTATTCGACTCTACCCCCATAAGGATTTTCAAACTCCTTTGGCTTTTGTGGTTTCTTGATTGTAAAACCATCTAGGTAATGGTTGTTTAATATGAGACCCCTTCAATATGCTAACTATTTGCGTTATAATGTCATGAACATACTATTTTCCTAGAGCAGGTGCATAATGGGCATCATAATCCTCAATTTGCATGCAAAATACATAAATTAATGGAAAAGAAATAATGAAAATCTATTAAAAGAGAATAATTTCTTACCAGAATACAGCATAGGGTACATAATTGTAATCTGGTTTCGTAGGTTCACCACCAAAAACAGTGTTCTGCAAATAAATAGGAAAAAATAAATAAAATAAACCATGTAGCATCAAAATTAGGACTAATATTTGAAATATTAATGGGAAAAAAGCAGTGGTGTAATAGATAAGTATTGAAAGAAAATAAAAGAATACATACTGCAAAGTATGATCCCTCCATCAAAGCCACAGGCGTAAGATTCATTCGGTTAGTAACATCTCCAACAGCCCATATACTAGGTACAGTTGTGCGTGAATAATCATCAACCTGAACAATAGAATCTTTGAAACTTCGTTTGCCTCTTAAGAACAACAGAATCAAGACAAAGAAATCCCTTATCCCCAAAGACCTTCCTATTCTTATTACTAATATTGGAAAGTGACTTTTTTATAGTTGAAATAAAGTAAATGAAACTTTGATTTGTTTTATCAATTCTTTCTTGATTTGCTTCATTATTGGAAATGGATTTAGTCTTTTTTTTTTTTTTTTATTGAATCAATAAAAAGTTGACCATTAATCCTCGGGATATTCATAATACGTTGAAAGATAGCTATGTATAAGTTTTCAACGAACAATTAATGGCACAATAAGTGAGTAAAAAAGGTTAGTCCCGCTCAACATAACTACACCGTGCATCCAATGGAGAAAGCGAATGGCACACCAAATGAGTAAAAAGGGGCAAACCCGCTCAGGATAATTACTGTTAAAAAAGAATCTGATCCCCATGTTTTCCCCTGTATAACCATCTACTCAAAATCCTGACCCATAGGCACTAACTAAATACGGTTCAATCCATTATATACTATTTTCATTTTAAGAGAGGTAGTTTAGATGGGCTAAATGAAAATTTCCTTTTCAAAAACTATCAAAACAGGCTAAAGCAACTTGGTCGAGGAAAGTAGCTAGTTCAATTCTTTTCGACTCAAAGCCCCAATCCGCACAAATTAGTGATGAGCACCACAGCATATTAGCCGATAAGTATATCTGGTATGCTAGCAGATATAAATGTCATAACTCATATTGCACCTTTCTTATTTTACCTAATTACATCTTTTCAAGCCTTATAGTAGAACTCAACACTCTTTCCTCAAAATATTTCTAGGTCAACATCCCGGGTGAGCGGTAACCTACAAATGAAAGCCTAGCTGGCCCACACAAATAGCATAGAGCAGAATAAACACATTCAGATCTTTTAAGGCGACAATTAGATGGCAACGTGAAACACAGAACCAAGAAGGAAAAAAGAAAAAGTTGCCAAAAACAAAACGAGGGAACCAAAAAAAGACTAATAAGACCTATAAACACTAGACCCCTTGTACCAAAAAACCAGAGGCCGTTGAAAACAAAAGGCAATAATCGAAAAGGCAAGATATATAATCACCTTCACAGCACCATGTTTATCAACTTCGACACCAACTGCTTTCAAATTTAATCTTTTTGAATTAGGAGCACGACCTGTAACAAACGTGTCACTTAATCAATGTAACATGCAAATAACCATTGAGAGAACCACCAAATATAAAAAAGCACTTTACAACCAGAAATTAACATCAGTACTGTTGATCTCGTCCTATAGTTCCAAACAACAAACTAGCAGACTAAATTCTGTTACTCTTTCCCTTGCTGGTTCTATATAAACTGCATACTTCTTTTCATAAAATAAGCATTCTTCACTACCTAGAGGAAAATACAAATAACTGCAATACTTCTTCAAGGGGCCATTACAAATGCAGAGATAATTACCAGTCGCAAACAACACAGCATCTGCCAAGAACTCCTCACCATGATCTGTGATAACTTTTATGCCGTTCTCTGTTTTTATCAACTGAGTTTATAGAAAATTGGGACCAGTATTATCGTGTTAACTCCATAGAAAGGAAATATTTAAAATAGGCCAAAAGAGGGAGAAATAATGGAAAGTACTTCAGTCAAATTTGTTGTTGGGTGCAAAGTAATTCCTCTGCCCTCCAAGTTCCTTGCAACCACCGATCTCATTTCATCATCAAAACCTCTGAAATATAACGTTTTTCGTCATAGCATCCAAGATCATTAGTATAAAATAATGACACCAGCAAATAGCGATTAATGATGTTAGTTTGCGTTATATTTTTACATCTTTTATTTCCTGTTAATTTTTGTTTTGGGCCCATGTTTGAATGTCTTCATCAATAAATGGTTCAGAAGGGCAAAGGGCCAACGGCTATTAGAGTTGAAGATATCCGCACCACATCATACAGTTTCTTTAATCTGTATCTGAGTATCAGGCAGTTCGATCCTTCAAAAATCATTGAAAGTATAAAAGAACGTAAGATAAGATATATTATACCTTAGTGGAAGTTCCCTTCTGAAACATAGGTCAACTTTAGCACCCATCCCATTCCAGATTGAAGCAAACTCAACAGCAATGTACCTAATAACAGAAAAGAAGTTATGAACCTCAATCAAAATGCACAAAGCAGATGTACTAATAAAAAAGAGAGAACGCACCCTCCTCCAAGCACCACGACACGCTTAGGAAACTCCTCCAAACTCAAAGCCTCATCAGATGTTATCCCCAACTCCTAGAGATTGCAAAAGTAAAGTAAGAGAAAAATATTAAAACATATGATTGGGGCTCCAGAATTGCAACGGAATAACCAAAAGTTCTCCAATAGTAAGCCAAACAAAATTTACCAGACAAAAAAAAAAAAAAAAAAAACTGCATCAAGTGTTCAAACACTTGACATGCTAAAGCAAAAACAACCAACATTCATGTCAATAAAATGTTCACACAATGGTCTAAGTTCTCAAAATTACAAACAGAAAAAATTTAGTAATAAAAAATAAAACTAAACGTGAGGGATTAATGACAAAGAAAAGGAATAAAATTAAATTGTATATCCATATCCGAAGCTCCTCAATTGACAGCACAGACTAATCTGCATCCATATTACCCCGGGCCATTCTTTTAGGGGAAAGTTTTTGAGAACTTCAAGTCATATTATGACTTCAAGACAAAAATCAGCCAGAAGAATATCAAAAGTGGCACAAACTTCCTCAATTAGCATTGCGATCCATGTTTATGAACAATTGGGGACACTGATAGCATACTTCATAACCTAGAACCTAGTCATATGAACATAATAGTTTCTAACCAAATCTCTAAGGCACTTTACTGATTCAATGCTTTACCACTTTAAATCACTGTTTATATGTGCAAGTTTCTAGATCAGCATGAACAATAGCTTAACAACACCCCTAAGACTTTCAGTGTGTAATGTAAATGATAATACAAGGCGGCTCAGCATGGATCAAAGCCGTATCAGAAACGATTCACATCTTATATTCCTCTTTTATCTCCAATTGAACAATAGGAAATAGACAACAATGAAACTAATATAAAATTTGTGGAAAAAATGGTCAACAAAAATAAAATAAACAAACAGAATTTTAGGTCTCCAAAGGAAATAACACTTCTAATAATGAAAATATTGCTTTTGAAAAAAATATTGACAAAGAATTTAACTTACACAAAAATGATATCAAATTCAGAATATATATGTGTGCATGTAATTACTTCAGAAGCATTTGAAATAATGAAAATTGGCAAATTTCTCAACAGAAACAGTGGATGGAATCAGATACTTATTATTCAAAGTTGGCAATAAGTAATTTTGGTCAACAGAGAGAGAAAGTAAGAGCAGACTGCTACCTTCCCAGGAATATCAGGAATGACAGCTCTACTGCCGGTTGCAATCAGTATGTGCTTTGCAGAATAGCATATTTTGGTACCGTCAAGTTGTGTCACCTCAACTTCATGTGGACCAACAATCTTTCCCTCTCCTTCATACATTTTTACTCCCGAATTAGTCAGTAAACGCTTGTAAATTCCATTTAATCGGACTATCTCATCTGTCTACATTTCAAAAGTTAAAAGAAGTACATGTCTCCATATTAGACAAGAAAAACCAATATGTAAAAATAAAAAAATAAAAAAATAAAAAAATTGAGGACATAATTTCAATTCCTTACTAATTACTGGAAGTATTACTACAGAGAGCAACAACATGTGTTCAAATAAGTGATAAGAACAGATACTCTTGATCTTAGCCAATAGGCTGAGAATGGCATGTGTACCAGAAGAAATGATACATCGGTCATGACTCAGAATTGTATCTAAAACAACTAAGAGATTCATACATCTGGAAGCATAATTTCTCAAGTTCAGACTTCCAGCATTCAACATGACAATTTGGATCACTTGTTTCATTGGGGAAACATAGGCCACCGTTATGCTTTGTCTATGAAGACCAAATGCGTAACTCCCAGTTTTGCACGTTAGATTAACAGCTTTTTTCTAATCACTAACCAATATGCTTCAGAAAGGAAAAATCTAACAAAAAATCTAATGAGAGGTGTAAAAACTAGAGACATGTAATTTACAGAAGGATCAAGTCAGGAGCTATAATTACTTTTCTTGAACTGAGGAGGATTAACTACCCATCTTTGCATCAGGCTTCTACTACGGTATATTATCGGTTAAATCATGGAAAGAACTTAAACTTTAAAAGCAAACATTTATTGAGTTCTTGCAACCTTCGGAAAACCACATATACCAGATCTTTATGTAAATATACCCAACAAATCTTAATCAAAATGAATTATGTACTTCATTGAAAAAACAAGCTCTATAAAGTCTGTTTTGAAATTGTTAGAAATCACGTGCAAAACATTAAGCGTAAGAAACATACCTTTTTTTGTAAAAGTTTCTTCCAATCAAAATCCACTTTCTCATTCACATCCCAACCAAAACTTCGAGCATCCTACACAAACAACACATGCTTTATTCATAAAATTCATGCCCACAGAATGAAAGTAGTTTTTCTTAATATTGAAATATGACTGTACGGTGCATTTAAAGTCATTTTAAGAAAACTAGAGTTGGCTGTGTTAAACAAAAACTAGTGAATACTGTTGCATTTAGTAGAAATAAAAGTTCAAAAAATTACATTCTAACCTGAAGCTCAGGACCAAATGTTGCTCCGTACACCAGAATCTTTTTGGGAACACAGCCACGAATGACACACCTAAATTGCCAAATGAGATAAAACATGATAAAGAATTTTGTGAGAACAATAAAAATCTTTTTCGAGGGCTTGGAAGGACAACATACGTTCCACCAATTCCTCCAATTACTTCTGAGCTGATTGGATCGAATGGAAGTTCACAGATGCCAACCTTCCAACATATTTTCACACGTAATTAGCAAATGTTTACCAGCCAATACTTTGGAAAGAGATACCAAATGAGAATAACAGTCGACAAAAAAAGGCATATAAAATCTTTACGGAATCAACAGTAAAATCTGCACAAATGACTATAAACGAATCATCAATATAAACACGAAATTAAACTTATGCACTTGTCAGAATAAGTCCATATATGAAACCTTCGCTCCATGACTAGCTGAAAATCTACTTGCACGAACGCCACCACTTCCTGCTCCAATAACGAATAAATCAAAGTCGTAGTGTTCCTCCGCCTCGGCCTGATGGCTCAGTTCTCCACCTATGAGCATCTTCCTCGACATGGCTGCCGAATATTTTGAGCTAAGTCTGCGGTAAACAGAAAATCACAAAATAGACGAACAACAACCAATCAAACGATAGAGCTGAATGCTTTAAGCTGCAAGAAACTCGCAAACGATGATAAACAGAGGAACCGATAGAAAATACAGAACATATGCCTTGAAATAAAGACGTATTCATTTGTTAAAAGAGAAATAAAAGTCAAACTGAAATTGCTAATCTGCCGCCGCCACAGGATGAAAAGTGCATTACAAAAATCAACAGTCAACTTCGCGGATGCGAATAGAAACAGAAGAAGACGAAACAAAGAAACTCGCGAATCTTCGCTCATCCAGACGCTACAAAAACACAAGAACTGTCTAACAACGCATCAAACATTCAAACTCCGTTCAACAGCCAACTCTCTTGCCTCGATCATAAAACCTTCGATATATTTAAAAAAAATCAAACAAAAATCACTGGCACTCACTTCTTAAGTTAAAACAAAAAAAAAAGTAAGAGAAAAGCTCCACGGACATGTGTCTATTATTTTCCTTTTCCATTTCCATCATCTTCTAAGCAACCAAACAGAAAATAGGCAGAGAATCTACCTTTGAGAAGCTGATGGCTGCAAGAGGAGAAACTCTAGGGCTTTCGACAGAGAAGAGAGGAATCGCGATCACTCGAAAGCCAAACGATGATGGCTGTATTTATATGTACAGAGCTGTGACTAAGTGAGAGCAATGGAGAACGCGAAATGCTTTTAGTTTCCGTATCCCCGGCGATCCCGAACGCTTCGATTATTTTTTTTCATTTTATTTTTCTTACATTTTTCGAAATTAGACGATGACGTGGCGCCATTTTAGCTCACCGTTTCTCGCGCCACAATCCAGTAATTTTGTACGCATCACAATTCCCAACTTTAATGTTAGAGGGTTCTATTTCAGATTATTTTAATAAAAAATTCAACGTAATCAATAATTTAAATTTTATACTTTATCTTAAAAATATTCTTAAATTTTAAAAAATTTAATTAAAACCTTTCAAAAAAAATTAAAAAAAAAACCGCATAAACTTTAAAAGTAAAATTATCTTCAAACTAAATAACTGGGGTGAGAGAGGCTCGAAGTCAAGATCACTCTACAAAGCTATGAGACCTACACGCTAACCAACTGTGCCACCACCACCTGTTGATGTAGGCCTTGAGGTACACATTGACCTACTTGGACCTCAGAGAAACCAATGAAAAAAATAATTGGGGTGAGAGAGGCTCAAACTCTCGACCTCAGGATCACTCTACAAAGCTATGAGACCTACGCGCTAACCAACTGCGCCACCACCCCCTGCTGATGTAGGCCTTGAGGTACACATTGACCTACTTGGACCTCAAAGAAACCGATGAAAAAAATAATTGGGGTGAGAGAGGCTCGAACTCTCGACCTCAGGATCACTCTACAAAGCTATGAGACCTACGCGCTAACCAACTGCGCCACCACCCCCTGCTGATGTAGGCCTTGAGGTACACATTGACCTACTTGGACCTCAAAGAGGCCGATGAAAAAAATAATTGGGGTGAGAGAGGCTCGAACTCTCGACCTCAGGATCACTCTACAAAGCTATGAGACCTACGCGCTAACCAACTGCGCCACCACCCCCTGCTGATGTAGGCCTTGAGGTACACATTGACCTACTTGGACCTCAAAGAAACCGATGAAAAAAATAATTGGGGTGAGAGAGGCTCGAACTCTCGACCTCAGGATCACTCTACAAAGCTATGAGACCTACGCGCTAACCAACTGCGCCACCACCCCCTGCTGATGTAGGCCTTGAGGTACACATTGACCTACTTGGACCTCAAAGAAACCGATGAAAAAAATAATTGGGGTGAGAGAGGCTCGAACTCTCGACCTCAGGATCACTCTACAAAGCTATGAGACCTACGCGCTAACCAACTGCGCCACCACCCCCTGCTGATGTAGGCCTTGAGGTACACATTGACCTACTTGGACCTCAAAGAAACCGATGAAAAAAATAATTGGGGTGAGAGAGGCTCGAACTCTCGACCTCAGGATCACTCTACAAAGCTATGAGACCTACGCGCTAACCAACTGCGCCACCACCCCCTGCTGATGTAGGCCTTGAGGTACACATTGACCTACTTGGACCTCAAAGAAACCGATGAAAAAAATAATTGGGGTGAGAGAGGCTCGAACTCTCGACCTCAGGATCACTCTACAAAGCTATGAGACCTACGCGCTAACCAACTGCGCCACCACCCCCTGCTGATGTAGGCCTTGAGGTACACATTGACCTACTTGGACCTCAAAGAAACCGATGAAAAAAATAATTGGGGTGAGAGAGGCTCGAACTCTCGACCTCAGGATCACTCTACAAAGCTATGAGACCTACGCGCTAACCAACTGCGCCACCACCCCCTGCTGATGTAGGCCTTGAGGTACACATTGACCTACTTGGACCTCAAAGAAACCGATGAAAAAAATAATTGGGGTGAGAGAGGCTCGAACTCTCGACCTCAGGATCACTCTACAAAGCTATGAGACCTACGCGCTAACCAACTGCGCCACCACCCCCTGCTGATGTAGGCCTTGAGGTACACATTGACCTACTTGGACCTCAAAGAAACCGATGAAAAAAATAATTGGGGTGAGAGAGGCTCGAACTCTCGACCTCAGGATCACTCTACAAAGCTATGAGACCTACGCGCTAACCAACTGCGCCACCACCCCCTGCTGATGTAGGCCTTGAGGTACACATTGACCTACTTGGACCTCAAAGAAACCGATGAAAAAAATAATTGGGGTGAGAGAGGCTCGAACTCTCGACCTCAGGATCACTCTACAAAGCTATGAGACCTACGCGCTAACCAACTGCGCCACCACCCCCTGCTGATGTAGGCCTTGAGGTACACATTGACCTACTTGGACCTCAAAGAAACCGATGAAAAAAATAATTGGGGTGAGAGAGGCTCGAACTCTCGACCTCAGGATCACTCTACAAAGCTATGAGACCTACGCGCTAACCAACTGCGCCACCACCGCCTGCTGATGTAGGCCTTGAGGTACACATTGACCTACTTGGACCTCAAAGAAACCGATGAAAAAAATAATTGGGGTGAGAGAGGCTCGAACTCTCGACCTCAGGATCACTCTACAAAGCTATGAGACCTACGCGCTAACCAACTGCGCCACCACCCCCTGCTGATGTAGGCCTTGAGGTACACATTGACCTACTTGGACCTCAAAGAAACCGATGAAAAAAATAATTGGGGTGAGAGAGGCTCGAACTCTCGACCTCAGGATCACTCTACAAAGCTATGAGACCTACGCGCTAACCAACTGCGCCACCACCCCCTGCTGATGTAGGCCTTGAGGTACACATTGACCTACTTGGACCTCAAAGAAACCGATGAAAAAAATAATTGGGGTGAGAGAGGCTCGAACTCTCGACCTCAGGATCACTCTACAAAGCTATGAGACCTACGCGCTAACCAACTGCGCCACCACCCCCTGCTGATGTAGGCCTTGAGGTACACATTGACCTACTTGGACCTCAAAGAAACCGATGAAAAAAATAATTGGGGTGAGAGAGGCTCGAACTCTCGACCTCAGGATCACTCTACAAAGCTATGAGACCTACGCGCTAACCAACTGCGCCACCACCCCCTGCTGATGTAGGCCTTGAGGTACACATTGACCTACTTGGACCTCAAAGAAACCGATGAAAAAAATAATTGGGGTGAGAGAGGCTCGAACTCTCGACCTCAGGATCACTCTACAAAGCTATGAGACCTACGCGCTAACCAACTGCGCCACCACCCCCTGCTGATGTAGGCCTTGAGGTACACATTGACCTACTTGGACCTCAAAGAAACCGATGAAAAAAATAATTGGGGTGAGAGAGGCTCGAACTCTCGACCTCAGGATCACTCTACAAAGCTATGAGACCTACGCGCTAACCAACTGCGCCACCACCCCCTGCTGATGTAGGCCTTGAGGTACACATTGACCTACTTGGACCTCAAAGAAACCGATGAAAAAAATAATTGGGGTGAGAGAGGCTCGAACTCTCGACCTCAGGATCACTCTACAAAGCTATGAGACCTACGCGCTAACCAACTGCGCCACCACCCCCTGCTGATGTAGGCCTTGAGGTACACATTGACCTACTTGGACCTCAAAGAAACCGATGAAAAAAATAATTGGGGTGAGAGAGGCTCGAACTCTCGACCTCAGGATCACTCTACAAAGCTATGAGACCTACGCGCTAACCAACTGCGCCACCACCCCCTGCTGATGTAGGCCTTGAGGTACACATTGACCTACTTGGACCTCAAAGAAACCGATGAAAAAAATAATTGGGGTGAGAGAGGCTCGAACTCTCGACCTCAGGATCACTCTACAAAGCTATGAGACCTACGCGCTAACCAACTGCGCCACCACCCCCTGCTGATGTAGGCCTTGAGGTACACATTGACCTACTTGGACCTCAAAGAAACCGATGAAAAAAATAATTGGGGTGAGAGAGGCTCGAACTCTCGACCTCAGGATCACTCTACAAAGCTATGAGACCTACGCGCTAACCAACTGCGCCACCACCCCCTGCTGATGTAGGCCTTGAGGTACACATTGACCTACTTGGACCTCAAAGAAACCGATGAAAAAAATAATTGGGGTGAGAGAGGCTCGAACTCTCGACCTCAGGATCACTCTACAAAGCTATGAGACCTACGCGCTAACCAACTGCGCCACCACCCCCTGCTGATGTAGGCCTTGAGGTACACATTGACCTACTTGGACCTCAAAGAAACCGATGAAAAAAATAATTGGGGTGAGAGAGGCTCGAACTCTCGACCTCAGGATCACTCTACAAAGCTATGAGACCTACGCGCTAACCAACTGCGCCACCACCCCCTGCTGATGTAGGCCTTGAGGTACACATTGACCTACTTGGACCTCAAAGAAACCGATGAAAAAAATAATTGGGGTGAGAGAGGCTCGAACTCTCGACCTCAGGATCACTCTACAAAGCTATGAGACCTACGCGCTAACCAACTGCGCCACCACCCCCTGCTGATGTAGGCCTTGAGGTACACATTGACCTACTTGGACCTCAAAGAAACCGATGAAAAAAATAATTGGGGTGAGAGAGGCTCGAACTCTCGACCTCAGGATCACTCTACAAAGCTATGAGACCTACGCGCTAACCAACTGCGCCACCACCCCCTGCTGATGTAGGCCTTGAGGTACACATTGACCTACTTGGACCTCAAAGAAACCGATGAAAAAAATAATTGGGGTGAGAGAGGCTCGAACTCTCGACCTCAGGATCACTCTACAAAGCTATGAGACCTACGCGCTAACCAACTGCGCCACCACCCCCTGCTGATGTAGGCCTTGAGGTACACATTGACCTACTTGGACCTCAAAGAAACCGATGAAAAAAATAATTGGGGTGAGAGAGGCTCGAACTCTCGACCTCAGGATCACTCTACAAAGCTATGAGACCTACGCGCTAACCAACTGCGCCACCACCCCCTGCTGATGTAGGCCTTGAGGTACACATTGACCTACTTGGACCTCAAAGAAACCGATGAAAAAAATAATTGGGGTGAGAGAGGCTCGAACTCTCGACCTCAGGATCACTCTACAAAGCTATGAGACCTACGCGCTAACCAACTGCGCCACCACCCCCTGCTGATGTAGGCCTTGAGGTACACATTGACCTACTTGGACCTCAAAGAAACCGATGAAAAAAATAATTGGGGTGAGAGAGGCTCGAACTCTCGACCTCAGGATCACTCTACAAAGCTATGAGACCTACGCGCTAACCAACTGCGCCACCACCCCCTGCTGATGTAGGCCTTGAGGTACACATTGACCTACTTGGACCTCAAAGAAACCGATGAAAAAAATAATTGGGGTGAGAGAGGCTCGAACTCTCGACCTCAGGATCACTCTACAAAGCTATGAGACCTACGCGCTAACCAACTGCGCCACCACCCCCTGCTGATGTAGGCCTTGAGGTACACATTGACCTACTTGGACCTCAAAGAAACCGATGAAAAAAATAATTGGGGTGAGAGAGGCTCGAACTCTCGACCTCAGGATCACTCTACAAAGCTATGAGACCTACGCGCTAACCAACTGCGCCACCACCCCCTGCTGATGTAGGCCTTGAGGTACACATTGACCTACTTGGACCTCAAAGAAACCGATGAAAAAAATAATTGGGGTGAGAGAGGCTCGAACTCTCGACCTCAGGATCACTCTACAAAGCTATGAGACCTACGCGCTAACCAACTGCGCCACCACCCCCTGCTGATGTAGGCCTTGAGGTACACATTGACCTACTTGGACCTCAAAGAAACCGATGAAAAAAATAATTGGGGTGAGAGAGGCTCGAACTCTCGACCTCAGGATCACTCTACAAAGCTATGAGACCTACGCGCTAACCAACTGCGCCACCACCCCCTGCTGATGTAGGCCTTGAGGTACACATTGACCTACTTGGACCTCAAAGAAACCGATGAAAAAAATAATTGGGGTGAGAGAGGCTCGAACTCTCGACCTCAGGATCACTCTACAAAGCTATGAGACCTACGCGCTAACCAACTGCGCCACCACCCCCTGCTGATGTAGGCCTTGAGGTACACATTGACCTACTTGGACCTCAAAGAAACCGATGAAAAAAATAATTGGGGTGAGAGAGGCTCGAACTCTCGACCTCAGGATCACTCTACAAAGCTATGAGACCTACGCGCTAACCAACTGCGCCACCACCCCCTGCTGATGTAGGCCTTGAGGTACACATTGACCTACTTGGACCTCAAAGAAACCGATGAAAAAAATAATTGGGGTGAGAGAGGCTCGAACTCTCGACCTCAGGATCACTCTACAAAGCTATGAGACCTACGCGCTAACCAACTGCGCCACCACCCCCTGCTGATGTAGGCCTTGAGGTACACATTGACCTACTTGGACCTCAAAGAAACCGATGAAAAAAATAATTGGGGTGAGAGAGGCTCGAACTCTCGACCTCAGGATCACTCTACAAAGCTATGAGACCTACGCGCTAACCAACTGCGCCACCACCCCCTGCTGTTGTAGGCCTTGAGGTACACATTGAACTACTTGGACCTCAAAGAAACCGATGAAAAAAATAATTGGGGTGAGAGAGGCTCGAACTCTCGACCTCAGGATCACTCTACAAAGCTATGAGACCTACGCGCTAACCAACTGCGCCACCACCCCCTGCTGATGTAGGCCTTGAGGTACACATTGACCTACTTGGACCTCAAAGAAACCGATGAAAAAAATAATTGGGGTGAGAGAGGCTCGAACTCTCGAACCTCAAGATCACTCTACAAAGCTATGAGACCTACGCGCTAACCAACTGCGCCACCACCCCCTGCTGATGTAGGCCTTGAGGTACACATTGACCTACTTGGACCTCAAAGAAACTGATGAAAAAAATAATTGGGGTGAGAGAGGCTCGAACTCTCGACCTCAGGATCACTCTACAAAGCTATGAGACCTACGCGCTAACCAACTGCGCCACCACCCCCTGCTGATGTAGGCCTTGAGGTACACATTGACCTACTTGGACCTCAAAGAAACCGATGAAAAAAATAATTGGGGTGAGAGAGGCTCGAACTCTCAACCTCAGGATCACTCTACAAAGCTATGAGACCTACGCGCTAACCAACTGCGCCACCACCCCCTGCTGATGTAGGCCTTGAGGTACACATTGACCTACTTGGACCTCAAAGAAACCGATGAAAAAAATAATTGGGGTGAGAGAGGCTCGAACTCTCGACCTCAGGATCACTCTACAAAGCTATGAGACCTACGCGCTAACCAACTGCGCCACCACCCCCTGCTGATGTAGGCCTTGAGGTACACATTGACCTACTTGGACCTCAAAGAGGCCGATGAAAAAAATAATTGGGGTGAGAGAGGCTCGAACTCTCAACCTCAGGATCACTCTACATAGCTATGAGACCTACGCGCTAACCAACTGCGCCACCACCCCCTGCTGATGTAGGCCTTGAGGTACACATTGACCTACTTGGACCTCAAAGAAACTGATGAAAAAAATAATTGGGGTGAGAGAGGCTCGGTACACATTGACCTACTTGGACCTCAAAGAAACTGATGAAAAAAATAATTGGGGTGAGAGAGGCTCGAACTCTCGAACCTCAGGATCAGTCTACAAAGCTATGAGACCTACGCGCTAACCAACTGTGCCACCACCCCCTGCTGATGTAGGCCTTGAGGTACACATTGACCTACTCGGACCTCAAAGAAACTGATGAAAAAAATAATTGGGGTGAGAGAGGCTCGAACTCTCGTCCTCAGGATCACTCTACAAAGCTATGAGACCTACGCGCTAACCAACTGCGCCACCACCCCCTGCTGTTGTAGGCCTTGAGGTACACATTGACCTACTCGGACCTCAAAGAGGCCGATGAAAAAAATAATTGGGGTGAGAGAGGCTCGAACTCTCGACCTCAGGATCACTCTACAAAGCTATGAGACCTACGCGCTAACCAACTGCGCCACCACCCCCTGCTGGTGTAGGCCTTGAGGTACACATTGACCTACTTGGACCTCAAAGAGGCCGATGAAAAAAATAATTGGGGTGAGAGAGGCTCGAACTCTCGACCTCAGGATCACTCTACAAAGCTATGAGACCTACGCGCTAACCAACTGCGCCACCACCCCCTGCTGATGTAGGCCTTGAGGTACACATTGACCTACTTGGACCTCAAAGAACCTGATGAAAAAAATAATTGGGGTGAGAGAGGCTCGAACTCTCGACCTCAGGATCACTCTACAAAGCTATGAGACCTACGCGCTAACCAACTGCGCCGCCACCCCCTGCTGATGTAGGCCTTGAGGTACACATTGACCTACTTGGACCTCAAAGAAACCGATGAAAAAAATAATTGGGGTGAGAGAGACTCGAACTCTCGACCTCAGGATCACTCTACAAAGCTATGAGACCTACGCGCTAACCAACTGCGCCACCACCCCTGCTAATGTAGGCCTTGAGGTACACATTGACCTACTTGGACCTCAAAGAAACCGATGAAAAAAATAATTGGGGTGAGAGAGGCTCGAACTCTCGACCTCAGGATCACTCTACAAAGCTATGAGACCTACGCGCTAACCAACTGCGCCACCACCCCCTACTGATGTAGGCCTTGAGGTACACATTGACCTACTTGGACCTCAAAGAAACCGAGTGGGTTAATTGTTGAAGGAATTGAGATCAGGCCGAAAAATGATTAATTAAGTAGAGATTCTATACGGGAGAACAGAAGAATTGACCGTTAAATTATATATTACTAGAATGGAAGAATTGACGGTTAAATATCGACCAATAATCTCGGAAGTGTAGAGCCTTGAGACATGCTAAGAATTGGGGTGTGAGGGTCTCGAACTGCTCAAAGATGCCTATGAAAAAAAAATTGGAGTTAGAGAGGTTCGAACTCTCAATCTTAGGATCACTCTTTAGAGATACATGTTGATCTATTTGGGTCGTTTCCTTACCCAAAATATATATATATATATATTTATATATTTATTTATTTAATATTAAAAAATTTAAGACCCAAAATAAAAAATAAAAATTTATTATTAGACAAATTTTAACTAAAAATACATGTTATGCCCAAGATAAAAAATTTGTTTGTAATTAGAAGTTTATTAGTGTTAGATGAACACTTCTACAATTGTTTGACATTCTTCGTTTTAAACATAAGAAATTATGATTTTGCTTTGGACTTCTCCTCTCCAAAAGACCTCGTACCAGAGAGTAGTCTTTGATTATAATTTTCTGATTATTCTCTAAATTAGCCAATGTGAGACTTCATTCAATTCTCCGACTCTTAAAATGGTTGGATTTAAATAAATAAATATTCAAATAGTCGTCGATGCCCGCTACCATTCTTCGACGATGGAGAATTATATATATATATATATATATATATATATATATATATATTTTTTTTTTTTTTTTTTTTGCGTTGACTCCAGGGATGATTTTGTAAAAGAGAAACTAAATAAATTATTAATAATATATATTTCTTTTGCGTTTACTCCAAGGATGATTTTGTAGAAGAGAAACTTGAGAAAAAGAGAGAAAAAGATCAGCCAAATCGGAGATGGACATCAACCAGCTGCCGGTGGAGTGCATCGCTGCCATTCTGGCTTTCACCTCGCCGAAGGACGCCTGCAGATCCGCCACCGTCTCGCCGGCTTTCAGATCCGCCGCCGATTCCGAAGCTCTGTGGACCACTTTTCTGCCGTCCGATTACCGGCAGATTATTTCTCAGGCTTCGTCCCCATCTACGACGTCGTTTCTGAATTCCTTGTCCAAAAAGGCTCTCTACTTCCATCTCTGCGATCATCAGCTTCTCATCGGCTCTGGAAATTCGGTAATTCAACTAAATTTTATTTACTTAAAATTCAGACTCTTAATTTTCAATATTAATTAATTTTAATTAGAGTTTTCTGCTTGAATAAAAGTAAAGATCCGTTAATAAATAAATAAAAATATTAAATCTATTTATCTAACTTTCTAAAAATTTTAAATCAAATTTAATTAATTTAAACTCTAATAATTATTTTAAAATTTTGAAAATGGAGTTTATCAATATTATTTTGAGTTTTTTTTTTTTTTTTCTCTATTTAAAACTTATTGAGTTTGCAATTAATTTGAATCAGAGTTTTGTGTTGGAGAAAGAGAGCGGCAAGAAATGCTATATGATAGGAGCAAGAGATCTAGAGATAATTTGGGGAAATTCAACACAATATTGGACTTGGAATCCCAACCCTATATCAAGGTGCCCATTTTTCATTTTATTTATTACATTTAATATTTTATTTATTTTCGTTTATATATTTTAATTATTGTTGTGTGCTTTCAAAATATTAATTTTCATATTTTTTTATTCATTATAATTATATACCTACCTCAGCCTAATTTAAGGTTCTACATTTTAGATAAATTATTTAAGTAAATTGTGACACTGTAGCATGTCATTTTATACAGTAAGATATATGATAGGAAAACGATGAAAATAACTTGAATTCTTATTCGTTTGTTAAATCTAGGGTTTTACATTTGAGATAAATTTTTCGAATACGTTACCATACTATACCCAATCAATTAGCACTGTAGGATGTCTGATAGAAAAACGATGAAACTAACATGAATTTGTATTCAGTAGTTAAATCTGGGGTTCTAGATTTAAGATAAATTACTCGAATAGGTTGTCACATTGTAGTCGATTGTACATTAGGATGTACGACAGAAAGACGATGAAAGTAACTCGAACTTATATTTAGTAGTTTTATGAGGTAATTACATTATAGTTTTAGGTTCGTTTGATGAATTTAAAATTTTAAACCACAGGTTTTCTGAAGTGGCTGAGTTGCAAATGGTATGGTGGCTTGAGATCAAAGGGAGAATAGAGGCTAGAAATTTAAGTCCCCAAACCAACTACGCAGCGTACCTTGTGTTCAAGCTTGTAGAAGATCGTTACCAGCGTCGTGGTTTTCGTGAGAGACCAGTTTTATTGCGAGTTTATTTTGAAGGGGCGGAGGTTGAAGAAGGGAAGACTGCAATTTTGGACCCTCGTGAAGGATCCCTTGTGGCTTTTGAAGAAAGAGCGGACGGGTGGATGGAGATTGAAATGGGTGAAATCTTCAATGAATTAGGAGACGATGGCTCAATTATTTTTCATTTGAAAGAGTTCCATAACTTTATAACTAAGAGTGGGTTAATTGTTGAAGGAATCGAGATTAGGCCTAAAAATGATTAATTAAGTAGTGTTATTGTAATTGAGATGCTATAAATTATATATTTACTATGAAATAAGCTTGAACTCTCAACCCTACTCACTCTTTGAGACGCCACTATTAGTATAGGTCTTGAAGTACACCTTGATCTACTGGACCTCAAAGAAGCCTATGAAAAAGAGAAATTGGGGGGAGAGAGGCTCAAACTCTCGACCTCAGGATCACTCTACAAAGCTATGAGACCTACACGCTAGCCAACTACACCACCACCGCCCCCTGTTGGTATAGGCTTGAAGTACACACTGATCTACTTGGGTCTCAAATAAGCCCATGAAAAAAGATTTGGGGTGTGAGAGACTCAAGCTCTCGACCTCAGAGTCACTCTACAAGCTATGAGACCTATGCACTAATCAACTGCACTACCCTACCATCCCTCTTGTTAAGTGCCACCACCATCTGCTAGTAGGTGCTACCAGGTACACGCTAATCTACCTAAGCCTAAAAAAACTCCTCGAAAAGGAATTGAGGTGAAAAGCTATAAGTCGTCATTAGTATTATTATATATATACACGTTGATTTTGTAGAAGAGAAACGAAAGAAAAAGAGAGAAAAAAATAAGCCAAATCGGAGATGGACACCAACCAGCTGCCGATGGAGTGCATCGCTATCATTCTGGCTTTCACCTCGCCGAAGGACGCTTGCAGATCCGTCGCCGTCTCGTCGACTTTCAGATCCGCCGCCGATTCCGAAGCTCTGTGGACCACTTTTCTGCCGTCCGATTACCAGCAGATTATTTCTCAGGATTCATCCGCATCTACGACGTCGTTTTTGAATTCCTTGTCCAAAAAGGCTCTCTACTTCCATCTCTGCGATCGTCTGTTTTTCATTGGCTCTGGAAATTCTCAAATCTAAATTTTATTTTATTGATTAGACTGAACACGCGACTCTCCACAATGGTATGATATTATTCATTCTGAGCATAAATTTTTATGCCTTTACTTTAGGAAAGTCCAGAAAGCCTCACTCGAATGGGATGAGAGAGTATAAACTCATTATCCTTCCCTAAAAACTTTGGAGTGAGTAATTTAAACTTAAAACACTTTTAAAATTTTTGAAAACTAAATAAAAAAATTCAAAATTGTTTTTAAATTAAGAAAAGTAATTTTAAAATTTTGTTTTTATTATTTAAATTGGACTAAGAATTTAATATTTTGGTACAAAAATTAAAATAAGTACAATTTTAAAAAACGCAGCTAATTTAGGGAATGATCCTGTGTTTATAATCAAATAATATTCTACCCATTGATATGACAATATCATACCATTGTGGAGAGTTGTGTTCATCTAACCGACAATATATAGCATATCATTTTACACGATAAGAAGTATTCAAATGGACTGAAACATTGTAGCATATCATTTTACACGATAAGAAGTAGGGTAGAAAAACGATTAAAATAACTCGAATTTCTGTTAAATCTAGGGTTTTGCATTTCAGATAAATTGTTCGAGCAAGCTGCCCTATACTGGATTACTTAACAGTGTAGGATATATGATAAAAAAACGATGAAACTAACAGTAATTAAATCTAGAGTCATGAGTTGTTACCACATTGTAGCCTATCATTTTATAGAGTAGGATGTACGACAAAAAGACGATAAAAACAACTTGAATTTATTTTCAGTAGTTATTACGAGACAATTACATTATAGTGCTCAGTTCGTATGACGAATTTAAACTTTTAAACCACAGGTTTCCTGAAGTGGCTGAGTTGCAAAATGTATGGTGGCTTGAGATCTATGGAAAAATAGAAGCTAGAAATTTAAGTCCCCGAACCAACTACGCAGTTTACTTTGTGTTCAAGCTCGTAGAAGACCGTTGTGAATTCAACGAGAGACCAGTTTTATTAGAAGTTTTGACCCTCCTCAAAGAACCTTTATGGCTTCTAAAGAAAGAGCCGACGGATGGATGGAGATTGAAATGGGTGAAATCTTCAATGAATTCGACGGCTCAATTGTTTTCCATTTAAAAGAGGTTGATAATTTAATAGATGGTTAATTGTTGAAGGAATTGAGATTAGGCCTAAAAATAATTAGTTAAGGTACAAAAACTATTTAATGTGATTGTCGTTGTTGTAATTGAGATACTTGATGGTAAGAATCAAAATTTACTACGAAATTTTACTTTTTTTTGTATTTATTTAGTATATGAACTTTGCTAAAATTAATTATTATTATTATTTTGTCAAATACAATTTTAACATTTTTTTCTTCAAAGTAAATTATATTCACTCTTTTGAGACCCAGCGCTAGACAACTACGCCACCGCCCCTTGTTGGTATGGGCCATTTATGTGTGGGCTTCAAAAAAAAAAAGTATTCAACCACGCCTTGTTGGCATGGTCCTTGAGGTACATGGGCCATTTATGTGTGGGCTTCAGAAAACGCTCATTAAAAAACTAATGACTCAAACTCTCGACCTCAGGATCACTCTAAAAAGCTATGAGACCTGTACACTAGCCAACTGCGCCACTATCCCCTGCTAATATAGGCCTTGAGGTACACGCCGACCTACTATACACTAGCCAACTGCGCCACTATCCCCTGCTAATATAGGCCTTGAGGTACACGCCGACCTACTTTGAGCTCAAAGAAACTGATGAAAAAACAATTGGGGTGAGAGAGGCTCGAACTCTAGACCTCAAGATCACCCTCTACAAAGCTATGAGACCTACGCGCTAGCCAACTGCGCCACCACCCCCTGCTGATGTTGGCCTTGAGGTACACGTTGACCTACTTGGACCTCAAAGAAACCGATGAGAAAAAACAATTGGGGTGAGAGAGGCTCAAACTCTCAACCTCAGGATCACTCTACAAAGCTATGAGACCTACGCGCTAGCTAACTGGCGCCACCACCCCCGGCTTGATGTAGACCTTGAGGTACACGTTGACCTACTTGGACCTCAAAGAAACCGATGAAAAAAACAATTGGGGTGAGAGAGGCTCGAACTCAGGAATACTCTTCAAAACTATGAGACCTACACACTAGCCAACTACGCCACTACCCATTGATGATATGGGCTTTGAGGTACACGTTGACCTACTTTAAGCTCAAAGAAACTGATGAAAAAAATAATTGGGGTGAGAGAGGCTTGAACTCTCAACCTCAGGATCACTCTACAAAGCTGTGAGACCTACGTGCTAGCCAACTACACCACCATCCCTTACTGGTATAGGCTTTTGAGGTACACGCTGACCTACTTTGAACTCAAAGAAACCGATGAAAAAAATAATTGGGGTAAGAACTAAGAGAGGCTCAAACTCTCGACGGCAAGGTCACTCTCCAAGCTATGAGACCTACGCATTAGCCAACTACACCACCACTCCTATTAGTATAAACTTTGAAGTACACATTGATCTACTTAGACCTCAAAGAAGCGAATAAAAAGAATTTGGGTTTGAGAAGCTCGAACTCTTGACCTCAGAATCATTCATTAGCTATAAGACTCACCCACTAGTTAATTTCACTACCACCCCTCATTGGTATGGGCCTCGAGATACATGACCCACCTATGTGTGGGCCTCAAAGAAGCCCACAAAAAAGAATTGGTGCGAGGGTGGCTCGATTGTGAACTAGTATTTGTGAGAAAAAGATGAAAATACCCGTTATCAAGAAGTGAAATAGAACATAAAAACGTAAGTTTTAGGCAGTGAAAGGAGACCAGAACTCTAACATCGTGCTTATTCAAGAGTGAACTAAAAAAGGCAATAACTTAGTTAGATCATTAAGCAGGAAAAAGAGATTCGAAATTCAAAAAGAACCGGGGGGGGGAGCGTTTAATTTCGGATTTTTTATTTTTATTTAAATATATTTATGTCGTACAGTCCCACAAGTCTCAACCGACGTTCGCAATGCTCCCTTGCAGTTCCCAACTATATAAAGGTAAAGGTAAGTGTTGAGGAACCTCCTCTTTCGATATTTTGAATCCCGAAATTTCCGTCTCGCTCTATATACGCGCGCACTCGAAGAGGAGTTTGGAAGCAGCTAGTATTGGTAAGGATTTTTCAGCCTCCTTCTCCGATCTGGTTTGATCTTCTCCATTGTTCTGAAGTTCGCTCTGTGTTTGTTTGTATTTTTGTTTTGTTTTTGTTTCTTTGGCATTGCATCGATCTTCTTAAATCTCGATCTGTGATTGTTGTTGAGTTAGGGTTCTTTCGGAAATGGGGCAACAGTCGTTGATCTACAGCTTTGTGGCTAGAGGAACGGTGATTCTCGCTGAGTATACAGAGTTCACCGGTAATTTCACTAGCATCGCCTCTCAATGCCTCCAGAAGCTCCCTGCTTCGAATAATAAGTTCACGTACAACTGCGATGGCCACACCTTCAATTATCTCGTCGAGAATGGATTCAGTACGTTTCATTTATCTGAATTAATGCTACAGTTTGTTTTGATCCAGATCTCGTTATGATTTATTCGTTTGTTGAGCTTTCCTTTACGAGATTCTTCTCTTCGTTTTCAATGTCATTTCGTCACTGTTACAGATCCATCGTTTTTTTAATCTTCTGAAGGTTTGGTCATTAGTGTGTTAGTGTATTATAGCTCATGGTACATCTTGAATCACATCAGATTCGGACATTTTGCTTTATCTTGATGGGTGGATATTTTATAGTTCCACGAGAATTGAGGTTTGTTTATAAACACTAAAAGGCGGCTAAAACGATCGGAGTTATTTCCTTTTTTAATGGAAAAAAAAAAAAAAAAGGAGACAGAATTCGTGTTTTTGGTTACCTCGAAAAGAAAGGAGCACGAGATCACCTAAGTGATATGGAATCAATAAATCTCACGAAACTGGAGGGAAAATGCACTGTTTCGAATCCAGGCTGATCTAAGCTGAGCAAAAATACTGAACTAGAAATGGAGGTATCAATGCGAAGAACTTGGCATTGTTTTATTTGCTCAGTTGCAATTGCTTGTATTATAAATTTGGTTAGCTGTTGGTGGATTGCATAAGCTCCTTATGATTTTCTGTAACTAAGAGACTATTTTCTGCTATCTATGATGCACTTATGATCGATTCCAACCATTAAGTTCCCTCATGATTTTATTTACATCTAACTTTCTGTTCCGTTTTCTGCAGCTTATTGTGTAGTTGCTGTTGAAGCTGCTGGTAGACAAGTTCCTATTGCTTTTCTTGAGCGCGTCAAGGAAGACTTCAACAAGAGATATGGTGGTGGGAAAGCTGCAACTGCTGTTGGCAACAGTCTGAACAAAGAATTTGGGTACTCTTTCTAATTTCCTGTTCTTAAATACATATTTAGAATATTTTTTAAACTGAAGAAGAAGTTAGTGAAGAAGATAAGAAACATAAACCAATGTAACAACTATGAGATGGAAACCATTGATAACTGATGTGTTCTGATAAAATTTTGAGAACTCATTGACAAATTAATTTTTGTAGATCAAAATTAAAGGAGCATATGCAATATTGTGTGGATCATCCTGAAGAGATCAGCAAGCTTGCTAAGGTGAAGGCTCAGGTTTCTGAAGTCAAGGGTGTTATGATGGAAAACATTGAGAAGGTAAAGAGCCGTAGTAATATTCTGTTGATTTTGTTAGAGTGAAGGATTATTTTCAATAATTTAAAATGCTGTTCATGTCCTTTGTTAATTCAAACTTTTTTTTCTTTCTTTTTTTTACCTGTTTGTTTCTATTCGTTTTTGGTGGGTAGGGATGCAAATAATGAACTGTTTCATCTCCCCGTATCACGTACACGCCCCTATATGTGCGTGGCATTTGAATTAGTTAAATGCTCGATTTGGTGGTTTGTCACCCCAGGTTATGTATGCTTGCTTGTGTCTGAATAATTAGGATACCTTGAAATCTACTGAGGAATTTTTGTGGAACTGAACTTGAAAAGGGGCCTTTTGGATGACATTTTAATCATGAAACAACTATTTTTCTATCTGTTTGGCAGGTTCTCGATCGTGGTGAGAAAATCGAGTTGTTAGTGGATAAAACAGAGAATCTCCGCTCACAGGTTGGTTGAATAAAAATTTCTTACATTTTTATGTTGATTGTGTAAAATTCATGTCGCTTGATCAGAAGCAACCTCAGAGTTTAGGCTTCGATTGCATTTATCGATTTGTCTTCTTCAAATACACTATCTTTTATATTTCAGGCTCAGGATTTCAGGACGCAGGGAACGAAAATGAGGAGGAAGATGTGGTTCCAGAATATGAAGATAAAACTGATCGTTCTCGGTATTGTCATTGCTTTGATTCTCATCATTATTTTGTCGGTCTGTCATGGCTTTCATTGTTAAGTTCCATCTTGATTTCCCTCGACATTGTACACTGGCTCTCTGCATTGGTGGATGATCGTTCTCGGTAGATCGATTCGCATACCCAACTCGCAGATCTTTGATTTTTGATGTGTTTGAATCTCTCTCTAGGCTGTAGTACCCAATTCCCATCACCTTTCTGCTAGGATAGTCTGTATTTTGTATTTTGTATTTTGTATTTTGTATTGATGTATAGATACATATATATATATATATATATATAAGCAATTCCTTAATCTTCAGGTAGACCCGGTTTATTATGGTTCATGTTGTGGATCCTCCGAGATGTAATAATAGAGATACTTCCTTTTTAATGTTCTTTGTTTTTTGGTAAATTTTTTATCCATAACTGAGTACTTTTTAGTTTGTTTTTCATCATATTTCTTTGCAAGATTTCAGCCTATTCATTATCACTCATGATATCCGGACCACTAACTCGGTAAGGTTCTTTACTACAACTCTTACAATCTCTTATTCTTATTGGCTCTTGGAGAAGGTATGATCTCTAGTGAAAGAACTTTCTATACATATCTAATTGGATGGCTAGGAACGAAGGAAAGAAAAAAGAGTGGAGTAAGACAAACCCACCCGTTGGAGCAGCGAGCTGGTTGAAGTCGAAGGCGGGGAAAGGAGTAATGCTTAGAGGATTGGATGGGCTTGCTTATCTTAGTCGCGGGATTGGCCCCACCTAAGGGCGGGTGCACAGGAGGGTGAAGGCGAAACAAAAATCGAATGGACTGATTCGCCTTCCTTCATATATTGGACCGGGAAAAAAAGGGGAGAAAGTAAAGTCTAAGCGCATAAATCCAATTTCGCATTTCATATTGGATTTGAGAATGATATTTTTACTCCAAAAGTTGGTTGGCCCCAAAGAAAGAGATCTCATCCATTATAGAATCATCTTCTTTGTTACATTTGTCAAACTTATACCCACGAGAAAGTGATCGCATTTATTTCTAAGGGGTAAAACCATTATTTCACACCCTCAAACTCTGTCTTTAAAAGTAAAAATCATCATATTTTTTGGACTATATCTGCTGGTCATCAACACGAACTACATTATTGAATGAAATCATTGTGTACACGGAAGAGATATGGACTCTCTCCTGCAACTATACAACACAAAATGACAGCAAGCTTTCTTTCGTCACCCTGCTCTTAAAGTCTTCTTAACCAATCACATCACCCTCTCTCTATCTCTCTCACGTATAAAATAAAAGAAAAGAAAGAAAAGAAAAAAGAAGTAAACACACCTGGAAGGCGCAAAACTCTAAACTCCAAATGAGCTCTCCAAGTCCAAATTCGATCAACAAGCCAATTGATCTCTAAATTGGGAAATTTCTTCAAAAATTGGAAGCCTTCTAGATCTCAACGGCGACCATTGGTTCATCACCAACTGATCAAGTCCCTCCATGGTGAATCCATCTTCAGTTAACGACTTGTTTGCCGATTGGGATTCTTCCAATTCCCTCATCAGTTCTTCGGCTCGTTTTCTTGATTTCTGGTCGTTGGATCCTGCAATCTTGTTCTGCAGCACTTGTTCCAGCACTAGCCTTGCTTCTGAATGTCGAGATTGCTTCATCAGGCACAGGCTCAAGTTACAGGCCTTGTTTGCATCTGGGTCTATGATTTGGGCCTTTTGGTATACGGCTTCTGCTGCTCTGTGGTTCTCTTGCTGCATATACGCCCATCCCAAGTTACCCTGCAATGGCGGAGTTTCATGTTTTTTAATATCAAACTACAAAGCCTTTCATATATATGCAAGACAGTCTTTCCTTCAAATAGAAGGGGAGTGAATTGAGGGCGGTCCGTTCGTACTATTAAATGAACACGACTCTCTACAATGGTATGATATTATCTACTTTGAATATAATCTCTCATGGCTTTGCTTTAGGATTTCTCAAAAAGCCTCCTTAAAGATAATATTCCTTGATTATAAACTTATAATTAGCCGACGTGGACTTTCTTCCAACACATACCAGTATCCTTGAAGTCTCTTGCCTGATGGTGACCTGAAACTTCTTTCCGTGAGAGCGAGCTGTCTTTGTGGGCTTTCCATTGAAGGCTTCTCCTTGATTAATCATCCGAAGTTTCTGCTTCAACAGATCTATCTGCTCCTCAACTCTTCCACATTTCTGCCAAGCATGTCAAAAAGACAACACAAGTTTTCATAAATGCTTTCCACAAACATGCAACTTGAGGAATTTTGAATTTGAATAATTTTTTTAAGTAATTAGCTCTAAGGGGCTAAGACATTATATGATTTTGACTATCAAAAACACAGAAACCAAATCTTTTGTTTACCTTGTACAAGTCAATGAGAACATTGTCCAATGACTCCTGAGCTTGTTTGGAGCAGCGATCCCTGAAAGAATTTATGGCTTCAATGGCTTCTTCTGCTCTATCTTGCTGTTTCATGACGACTGCCATGTCTTTCAGAGCACTATCTACTCTATCTCCCGCATTTATTGCCTTCCAAAATAGGACTATGGCTGCTTCTGGATCCTTCTCAACGAGCTGAATTTGCAGAAATAATAGACAGTTCGTTAGAAAGCAGGAGTCAAAAGAAACCTAAAGCACAATCAACATAATATTCAATGTCCAATCGGTTGAGGATTGTTGCTAATTTAGTAAATGATCAAGGATTTAAAAGAATACATCTTCATTGGTATGAATCCATTGTGTAGAGTCGTGATTCCTAACACAATCTTCCTATTCTAATTTATTTTACAATTCAAATCTTCTTTAGTTAGAATGAAGAGCATTCATGAAGGAAACGGAGATGCCAAGATTGGGACTGTAAGCGTTCAAATATAATTGCAGATTCTTGAATTCTTTGTTTAAATTATCAAAATAGTTCAGATGAGGTTCATTTCAATTATACCTCAAATTTTAAAAAGTTTCATTCCAATCCATTATAATGAGAACAATATGAAACTTCAATTCCCTATAACAATGATCATTTATATAGTTCAGCAGATTGAGGATAAATGAGGTATAGCAAGAGTCAAAAGTTTCCAAATTCGTCCGTATAAAAGCTATTGGTAATAATGAACTGAATATCCTTTTTCATGGTTATCGACTGAAAATTTTCCGTCTCAGATTCATTTTCTAGAAAAAATCGGTTTTCCTACTGATAAACAAGTTAATCAACATTCAAACCGGATCTTATTCGTACTGCGGAGAAACTAATCCAACACAAAAACCGGCAGAAACTCGGTGCAAACAATAAATATACATCCATACACGGAACAGTAATTGAACGAAACGAGACATCAAATATAAAAAGCAGAGAATTATGATCCTTACAGTTCGTTATATGAACTTGATGAATTAATTCCAAGTTGAATACCTGGACGTGTTTGGCTCGAACATAGGGACTATCACCAGCAGGAAGCTTATGAACAACATGAAATGGAGCTTCCAAGTTTTGATCTCCTTTCTTCCCGTCGTTCATCGTCCTTCCCGATCAAACAACACAGATTCAAAATCCTCTCTCTCTAAATTAGAAAGATTTACACGCACTTTCACGTTCTAAAAGCACAAAGCAACCATTGATCTAAAGAGCGAAACGAGAGAATTTTCATATCTCTAGAGGTCGCAACAATGGAGGCTTTCGGGTTCGTATTGACGTTTTTGCGCGTTCTTACAAGGGGATGAAACCAGACGAAATCCCGTCCAAGTTCATTAATGTATTGTAAGCCGTAGTAACGAATCATAATTTGACACGTGGCGCTTACCTTTTCGAGAATTACAAATACAAGTAGTTAGGATAATCCTCCCATCTACTCTGCCAACGTCCATTTTTGTGGCATTTTGGTGAAACCTATTTAATCTGACAGTTCTCGTGAAAAGACATTTTAGTCCCTCAATTTTACCCCTAATAATTTAAATTTTAATATACTTTCAATAAATCTTTAAAAAAAAATTATTAAAAAAATCAAATAAATATTTAAATTAATAAATGAACGTTTTGTTTTTTTAAAATGATTCTTGCATCAAAGATGAACGGGGCTAAGCAATCTGCCGAAACTGTGGGATGTAAAAATGCATCGGTAGGAAAGCGTTCCGCCTTAGAGGGAAGCACCCGCGCGAGCAGTGGTGAATGAAGCGAAAGCAAGAATGTAAAAATACATCGGTAGGGGAGCGTTCTGCCTTAGAGGGAAGCACCCGCGCAAGCAGTGGTGGATGAAGCGAAAGCGAGAATGTCGGCTTGAGTGACGCAAACATTGGTGAGAATCCAATACCCCGAAAACCTAAGGATTCCTCCACAAGATTTGTCCACAGAGGGGGCCTAAGATTAGGCCGAAAAGCGTAGTCGATGGACAAAAGGTGAATATTCCTGTACTACCCCTTATTGGTCCCGAGGGACGGAGGAGGCTAGATTAGCCAAAGATGATTTTCGGTTAAAAAATGCAAGGTGCTCCATTTTTTTGAGGGAGTTAAAATATCTAAAATTTATTTAATATTTTTTACGTTTTAAAATAATAAAGTGATGCCTGGTCTACAAAAGGCTTTACTTTTACTTTTTCCCACTGGACGAGGACGAACACATCGCCGCCACGTCAAGGAAACGACAGGTTCCTCGTGTCGGCGATATTGGCCGACAATCCAAACACCTAAACGACAGGCCGGCATAAGCAATCAAGACAGGAAAAAACCTTATCTCAGGCTTCGATTAGACCACCAAGCTGATTAGATTTTGTTCATCATTCTTTTTTCTGGTAAAATAAAATATAAAATTGACATTTTTAAATACAAAATATACACAAAAATATTACCCCATGAGCTTGTTAATTAAGAAAACAATGTAAGAAGTGAAAGTAAATGGTGTAAAAATTGTACAAATTCACAACAGTGTGTTATTCTTTCTACCCGAGCGATGATTTCCTACAAGAATTTCTTCCTTCAAAGTAAACACGAATCGATGAATTTTTAAACGAGTAAAAACTATTTCCTACCTCGTATCTGTTCTTCTATTTTGTTTTGAATGAGCCTCTCACCGGTGTTTCGACTTCGAGGGAATCGAACTCGTGACGACTTTTGATTCGATCAATCACGGCGACTTCTCCCTTTCTTTGCTTTGTTCTTTTCCTGCATTTTCTTTTTCTTTGCTTCAGCAGTAACCCAGGTGTAATCACGGGGGATGGCGAACGGGTCTTCCAGAGTTTCTATCCTACTGCTAGAAACACTGGACGATGAATTCGAGCGTTGATACGGGGCTTTTATCCACTGAAACCAAGATGAACTCGAGGCATTTGTGGCGGAAGGGCTCTCCCTGCCTGCTGCTGCAGCTGTAGGGCTTGATGGGGGCGTCGCGAACTCGTCCACCGGTTGAAGTTCTTCATATTTTGTGAAGGTAACAATCACTCTGATCGTTGGAACCACAGGAATGGCAACCTGTAAAGAAACTACAACATCAATAACTAACTGAAAAATGCATCAACCTCCTTAATACTTCAAGTTAATTAAACAACAGACACACCTTAATCATCCTACTCACTACCTCCAGCACGAAACGAACACGGTTTTTCATTAAAAACAACAAAAACTTCACCATGTTTAAAACTAACGATCGCGAAAGGAAGAAAATGAAAATACGAGTTTACTCGATCTAGCCAACAAATGCCAGAAGGAAATTACTTCATAGCCATCAAAACCAAAATAGGCGGTTCCCGTTCTATGAGTAATGCTATGTGCAGATTAACCAGCCATGATTCAATAACTAACTCACAAGAGCACTGATCAAAATAACTCATTGAGTACTTAATTCACAGCCTATCTATCTATATCTATATCTGTGAGATCCCACATCGATTGGGGAGGAGAACAAGATATCTTTTATAAAGGCGTGGAAACCTCTTCCTAGCAGACGCATTTTAATAACCTTGAGAGAAAGTCCGAAAGGGAAAGCCCAAAGACGACAATATTTGCTAGCGGTGGGTCTGGGCCATTACAATGTCTATATCTATGTATCTATATCTATCTACGTACGTACGTATGTATGTATAGTCTTACTAGCCTCAGAACCATGAAACTTGAGATATTGAGACCAGTAGGTAGGTGTAACACCAGAATCAAACATTATCGACTCGTAAAAGCTAGAGATAACAAGTTTTAATTATCGGGCTTTGAACGGCAATAACTTAGAAGCGCCACATCGACAGGGAGACGAGCAAAAAGAGCAGGCTTGTGAATGTAAAATCTAAAATATTCAGATCGATCCAATGCTAGCAGACTTCTCTACGCATGCCATATGCAAAATTTCACTTCCCAACTATATATTGAGGGAATACTAGAACCAAGCAAACAATTAAGAAAAAATAACGTGAAAAACTATCTTCCAGTTTTGCTTCATTAAATATAAAATTCAGCTCAACATAATAAGTACCATACCTTGACTGGAAAGGTTCCCAGTGGGAGTTTTGTGGTAAGTAGTTCTCTTAAACGCCGAACTGCCTTGACCTTGTTAGCTAAAATATCCAGCAATGGCAATAGTTCATCAGTTTGTAGAGGAAAGTTCGGAGAGAGCCAAAGAATGGGTCTTAACCCTTTCTTGTACTCGTTTTCATGACTCCCGTCCTTATGCCGATTTTTGCTCTCAGAAGTCGAAGAGGTAGCTCTCGTTTCCCTTCCTCTTCGGTGTTCAGGGACTATCTCTACAGAATGTCTTACAGGGATGCTGCTATGATTTTCGGTAGGAGAGTCCCCTAGAAGATCACCTACCTTATCATCGATAGAAAGGGAGCTTCTTGGAGGAGCAATCCTCTTTTGCCCTTCGTTTTTGCTATCCCGTTTCCTCCATCCACCGAACCATCCTTTCTTTTCTGGTCGAATCTCTCCATTTCTACATCCATTTACATCCTCGACAGGAACTTCCCTTTGTTCAACACAACTGTGCCGATGCGCAATAGTCCCGTCACCATTCTCAGAAGAAGCCAAATCAGTGGAATCTAATTTAAGTGCATTCTCAAGTTGCTTTCGTTCATCCTCGGTTAAAATGTCAGCAAACTCCTCGCTCTCAGTTTCATTTTCATTACATGATGAGAAGAATTCATCATCTGTCATTGCCCCAGGGACCCTCCTGGATTTGATACTAACGACCACATTATGCATATCGTATACTTTAGCTTTCCAGGCACCCACCAATTCGGTTTTCTCCTGGCGCCTCCAAGTCAGCTGCGGCAAAAGAACAGCCTGAGTGACGTCAATCCCGGGTCTAAATATATTAGTCCGAGACATTGCTGTCACTTCTTGTCTAATCTCTTCTTCAGTTGCTTGAGCACCAGCACCGTCCAAAGCATTCATTACCTCCTTCTCCTTGTGTGAGACCATACAGAGTGAACCAGAAGGTACTTTCCCATCCTCAGTCCCATCACCAAGAAAAAGAACGCTCTGGTCGGCACGTTGGATCCTAAATCCATCAAAACCGGCCAGTGTCATATCTGCTCTCAAGTTAGCACCTCTTTTCCAGATCTTGTAAGTATCTGAAGGAGCAATTCTAGATATGAACGGGATCACCGAACTCTCAAAGTGGAATGTGATTTCCATGTAGAAATCCTTCATTCTTCGCATAGTCTCAATCAAGCGAGGCAATCTCCGACACCATTTCGCCCAAGCCAGAGGCTGGTAGTGCCGAACAATTATCATAGCAATCCCTTCTTGTCTACTGCAAATTGCTTCCTGAAGTGCACTCCAACCATTCTCATTCTGCAAGCTCCAATCTGCCCCTGCAACCATGAGCATTTCGGTAGCAGTCTCATCCCCAAGCTTTACAGCCAAATGCAGTGGAGTATCCCGATTCGGGACATCTCGACAATCAACCATAGCAGAAATGGCATCAGCCTTGCTTTCCTCAGCCAATGAAGCAGCCTCAGTATGAATCTCAGAAGGATTGCAAAGCCGAGGAAGGCCTGCAAAGATTCTCTTGAGATTGGTATAATCTCTGGTGGCCACAGCCTTGTGTACCGGACTATGCGCATACTTCGAAACATCGATACCAGCCATGGCTCAAGAACATTCAAATCAACAGTCATTCAACTCAAAAACTCAACAGAGATCAAGAATCACAGGGGAGCACACGAGCAAGGACATAATGATTAAGGAGAAGCAGACTCAACTATGAAGAATAACCCCCAGATCATAATTAGCCAACAAAAAGAAGAATTCCTTGAACCCTTTCCGGAGTTCCAGCAGCCACAATTGACTACACCAGACCGTCACGAGAAGCCAACCGACAGCCCAATAGAAAACGTTGACGCCAATATCAAACAAAGAAGAAAGGTTTATCAAATGGACCAGTGGCAATATCCTTCAATTCAAGAAATCTCACCTTCTCCTCCTCCTCCTGTGTGCTTCTTCCATGACCCCTCGAGAGACCAAGATTGCAGGAAAAGGGCCAAAACCCCACCCTCTCTCTCTCTCTCTCTCTCTCTCTCTCCTCTCTTTCTCTCTCTACAAGTAGAAAAAGAACATAAGACCCTTGTGATCCAATCCAGATCAGACAAACCCAAAAACATGCATGTGGGTGCGTGAAGCACGAATTATAAATTGGAGGGGAAAAAAAAAAGAACAAAAACAATCAAAAGCAGCCGAATCTGTAAAGAAATGGATAAAAATATGTAAAGGAATCAAGAAAAGAACACAGGAAAAAGCAGGAAAACCCCACCATCCAAGCAATGTTTGTATCAAAAAGACGAACAACAAACAAAAAAATGGTCGCGCAAGCGGTTGGTAGGCAGACAAAGAAAAATTGAAACAGCGAGATCTACAAGAACATAGAATTGGAGAAAAAAGAGTACATGAAAGGGGATTTGGGGAGGTTTTGTCAAAGAGAACAACGCGTTCAAAAATCCAATGAAATCAAATGCATAATAGAAAGCGAAAGAAATTGAAATCCAAGGGTTTTATCTCTCGATAATTTTTACCTTCACGAACTGAAAGATTAAGAGATAAGAACACAGCAGCGGAGGGTAAAACGAAGCCGGAAGAACACAGATTGTCCAAAATGGAAAGTCGCCATGTGAGCCAAACTTGCACTTCTACTCCCTCTTTCTTCCTCCTTTCCCCATTCAATTTTCTATTAATTTTACCAAAAATTAGTAACAGACTAAAACTTTTAACACCCTAATAGGTTTTTTTTTTTTTTTTTTTTACTGTTTAATTTTTTAAATATTCTTTAATTTTAATATTTTTTTAAATAATTGTTTTTGTGCCATTTATAAAATAAAAACAAATACAAATTAAAAAAAATTAATAAATTTTAACTTTTAAAATGAGAATTAGTGCATTAATTTGTTGATTAGTGATTGCTTAATAAAGAAGGTTTCAAGTACTTTTTATTCTAAAAAATTTAAGAAATTATTTATTAAAAAAAAGACGGTTTCAAATATATTTGAACGTTTATTTATTTATTTATTTAATGAAACGCGTGATTTAGGAGAAAAAAATAGAGCGGAAAATAAAAGGCTAGTGGGCTGGATCCGCACCACTCTAAATTTTTTATTGACTTTAATTATTGTATTTATTTTAAAATTTGAATATTTGTCACCTGATTATCCAACGTGATTAAACCCTAAATTAGTTGTCACAGCTAATTATGCTTTGTTTATTAATTTAGTTTTTTTTTTGTACAATTTAAAAAAATTAATTTAACCTGGAAGTAAATACTGTAATAATTTTTAAATTTTAATATTTAATTTGAGGAAATTTAAAATTTAGAGTTTCAATACTTGCGATTTAATCACTTTAAAGATCAAAATTTATTTCTTTTTTCTTTAATATTTTATATAATATTTATAAAACATAAATAAATAATTGAACAAATAACCCGTAGTAGAGCGACAGAGGCCCACTAAGGAAAGCCCAATGAGAAAAGCCCATTTGTTGGTTGTCTGTTCATTTATTTTAATTAAATGAAAAATTGTACTTATTAAATATTATAAATATTATTTATTTTCATAATGATATTAATGGCATAATTGAATTTAATTGTAAACCCTATTTTCGATCGGTTGACTTATAATAAAATATAATAACTTTTATTCAAAATAGAATTTTAACTTTAAAAAATAAAATTAACCTCATCTCAAACTAAAATATATCTATAACTCAATCGAGAAACCAATATATTCTCGATTGGATATTTAAATTTGAACGCAATTAACATTTATTTTATTTTTCGAATGGGACTTTGATGTCAAGTGGGACATCCAGACCACCCTCACGAGTGTTCCATCCATTTCGAACCACTCGTAGAGGCACATGGGTCTTGGGCTCAAGCCCCAAACCCGATATCATTATAAATACATAAATCTTAAAGGTGCACCTAATAATTATTCCATTGATTAATTAACGTATTTAATACTAATAATTACAAAAACCCCATTGATTAATTAACATATTTAATACTAAAAAATTATAGGGCGGGAAATTACCTAATTTCTCACTAACTCATTAAATATAAAATTAAATTATATAATAAAATAAATTTTTTAATGATATTTTTAAAATTATTCGAATAAAATTGTCCAAACACGAATTTAAATAGTAATATTCATCAAATCATTTTAGTTAATATTATAATATTTTAAATTATGTATACATATAGAGTAAAATAAGAATACAATAACTACATGTGAATAATAGGTATTAAATTAAATAAATAAAATTGTTCCCATGTGAACTAAATAGAATAAGTCTCAAAATATTATTTTTTCATTGACTCATTAAGTATAAAATTAAACTATATAATTGAATAGTTTTTTATTTATTATTATTGTTAAAATTATTCGTTTTTATTGTCCCGAATATAATATTTATCGAATCTTTTAATTAATATTGTAATGTTTTAATTATGTATATTGAATAAGATAAAAATGCAATAAGTACATAATAAATAATATACCCATGTGAATTAAATGAAATAAGTCTAATGTGAACTAAATAGAGAATAAGTCTCAAAATATTAATGCTTTAAAAAAGGAAACTACGGATAAGTTGGAATTTTTTTTGTCCTTTCTCACCATTGGTGCGTGTGGGACACAAACGACACTGTATTTGTCCCATTGTTTTGTTTAAAAAAAAATATTTTTTATTTTTTAAAATGATAATTTAGGTCTTATCTAATAATTTATATTTTTATATATCTTTAATCAAAATGAAAATATTTTTAATGAAATAAAATGCACGATAATTAATAAAATAATTAAAATGTATTACTAATTATTTATTAATATAAATTTTAATTAAAAGAATAGTAATCAATATTTAAAATTGATAGGTAAAATTAAAAATTAACCTTAATATAGGTATTTTACATAAATTAACCCAAAAAAGGGGTTAAATTACAACAAATTCAAGATATTTTATTTAAGAACTTAAATGTAAAAGTTTAATATTTAATAGTTGATTAATTAAATTAAAAACAAGTTAATTGTTAGAAAAAGAAGGAATAATAAAAAAAAAAAAAGAAAAAGAAAAGAAAAGAAACCGCTCACAGAGCCAAGATGGGATCGTTTACTAATAAGATTCGATGTCAGGACTCTTCTTATTGTTCTCGAACGAGTATTCTCCTGCCTCCCTGTTGCTATCTAGCCTTGTAGCCGCAGCCTTCTTAAACCCTGATTCTGCCGCTGCCGCTGCCGCTGCCGTCCTTTTCCGGCGCCAAAATGCAATCGGCGATCATAGCTCCGTCTCCACGCGCCATCCCGTTCACCACAGTCAGACCACCTGTCCACACCAATGTCCGACGAAGTCGTTTCCGCTTTGTCAGAGCCTCGACTTCTAATGTCACTACGCCATCGCCGCCGCCGCCGGTGTCCGTAGACTCTTCGTCTCCCAGTTCCCCTGGCGCTCAAAAGCTTAACAAGTACAGCTCTCGCGTTACCGAGCCGAAGTCCCAGGGTGGCTCTCAGGCGATTCTACACGGCGTTGGTCTTTCCGATGACGATCTCAAGAAGCCTCAGATTGGGATTTCGTCGGTATGGTATGAGGGCAATACATGCAATATGCACTTGTTGAAGCTCTCCGAGGCTGTCAAATATGGGGTTAATGCGGCCGGCATGGTTGGCTTTAGGTTCAATACGATTGGCGTTAGTGATGCCATTTCCATGGGGACTAGAGGCATGTGCTATAGCTTGCAGTCGAGGGACTTGATTGCCGATAGCATTGAGACTGTTATGAGTGCTCAGTGGTACGACGGAAATATCTCCATCCCTGGATGTGATAAGAATGTGAGTTTTCGTTCATTTTCTTCCCATTTCCAGCTATTTTTGGCACAGAATCTGATCCTCTTTTTCATCTTGCTTACTCATATTTGCGAACTGGTTTTGAAATTTGAATTGCTTTTTCCCCTTTCCATTTCTCTGTTTTCCTTGTGCCATTCCCGATCGATTAACCTCTATTTGTTAAATTTTGACATCGAACGATGTTAGGAAATAAACATGATTTTAATATCACAAGAATGTTATATATTAGATCTTTATCGACAATCATTGAGTTTGATCTAGGAGGTAAAGAAAAATCCTTGGAGAAATATGGTTACATGTCTGTAAAACTGACCTTACTAAACCGGGTGTGATCTTGTGTGGGCACCGGCTTCATTTCTTTTTTTTCTTTTTCTGATTAACCAGCAGGTTGTTTTACTTCACCTTTTTTTGCATGAAAATTTAGAAGTCAAGTTACAAAGAAAAGAGAAAAAATCTCCGTGAAAAGCACTAGAAGTTTCTTTTTCCACATTACAACTGTGTACTGATAACTGGCTATTCTACAGATGCCGGGAACAATAATGGCGATGGGTAGGCTGAATCGGCCAAGTATTATGGTTTATGGTGGAACCATCAAGGTTTGGGACTTGGATTTTGCTCATATCCAGGACTTGAATATAATCTTTCAATTGATTCTCATGTTTATCATGAAGCTGGTGTTGTGTCTTCTTTCTAAAACTTTGCTAAAAATTATTCACTTGTAAATGGTCTGTATTTAATTTAGCACAATGGAATGTGTTCAATTCGTATCTTCGATTCATTACATTTTTTTTCTCACCATCTTTATCAGAGTAGAACTACAGAAGATGATCAGTTTCAGAGCCTTCACATTTTAAAGAATCATTACTCTGTTTGTTGCTAATAGCTGCATGTTTACCATCCTCATACTTTCACTTAGACACTCGTATTTTGTCCTCATTTGAATTCATGCTAATTAGTGCAAATTTCTGAAGTTGTTTGTAATTTTACATTCTTTTCTGTCGTCTTTTCTTTTGCAGCCCGGTCATTTTCAAGGCAATACATACGACATAGTGTCTGCATTTCAGGTACGTGCATATTAAAGGCAAAGTATGAGAAGTTTTCATTTTTTAGTTATTTCATTTAAAAATCTTAAAATTTATTTATTTTAACATATTAAGTTATTTATGCATTAAAAGCTCGTTATGTATATGTCAAATGCATGAACATAACATTCTTTCAGGGACGATTTCTCTGGGTCTGCATAAGCATGCAACTGCTGGAATTAGTACTTTATAAAAGTTTGCATGCATATATATAAGAACAAAAAAGAATATGGAGCATGGTCATTTGACATCTTTAAGAAATTTACAAAAATAGAAAGTAGGTCATTTGACATTTTTAAGAAATTTAAGAAAGTAGAAAGTAGGTCATTTGAATTTGTTTGTATGTGATATCGAGCTGTATATGTTGATGCCTGTTTAAAAAAATCTTAATGACTGTGTTCGTCAAATTTGTTCTTCCAAATTTTAAGTTTCCATTTAACATCTTTTAATTATGGTACTTAGGTATATGGAGAATATGTTAGCGGGTCAATAAGTGATGAGCAGAGGAAGAGTGTTGTCCGCAACTCCTGCCCAGGGGCTGGGGCTTGTGGTGGTATGTATACAGCTAATACAATGGCTTCTGCTATTGAAACCATGGGCATGTCTCTTCCTTACAGGTAGGCTATATCTCCAGTCCACAACATTAGTTCGTAGGAAGGATATTCTCAAGATTTATCCTATTTCTTATCTGATTCATGTTTCCTAAAGCTCGTCAACACCTGCTGAGGATCCACTAAAGTTGGACGAGTGCCGTTTAGCTGGAAATTATCTTCTGGATCTATTGAAGATGGATTTGAAACCACGGGATATTATTACGGAAAAATCACTACGAAATGCAATGGTTGTTGTTATGGCTTTGGGTGGTTCCACTAATGCAGTGCTACACTTGATTGCTATAGCAAGGTGAGGAGAGCTTGATGTAAAATTGTTCCTCGACTTTCTACTCCTTTTACTATAGATATCTTTGTGGGCTAATGTAATGATTCTTGGCAGGTCTGTCGGTTTGGATTTAACCCTTGATGATTTTCAGAAGGTTAGCGATCGGGTTCCCTTCCTTGCCGATCTTAAGCCTAGTGGAAAATATGTAATGGAGGACATTCACAAGGTCTGGAGTTTATTTTCATCTCATTGCCAGTCATATAAAATGCTACCATTAGTGCTTATGGTTTACTGTAGTATGTACGGGTGCAACAAGTTTACCATCATGCTTCTTGATAAGTATTGAATATTTGTTTTGATAGATTGGAGGAACACCTGCAGTCATTCGCTATCTGTTGGAGAACGAACTTTTAGATGGAGATTGTATGACTGGTATGTTTTAGCAAACACGTCGATGGCATTTGCAGTTTAACTTCTATTTCCATTGGTGATGTTATTTTTTGTTTTCAGTCACGGGAAAGACTCTGGCCGAAAATGCTAAGCTTTTCCTACCTCTATCTGAAGGGCAGGTATGTTGGCTACAATAGAGGTGAAAATCTGAAGGAACACTTTATAACTACCTTTTATTCTTTGAATGCAGGATGTTATCAGAAGCTTGGACAATCCCATCAAGGAAACAGGGCACCTTCAAATATTATATGGAAACCTTTCTCCCGAGGGTTCGGTGGCTAAGATTACTGGCAAGGAGGGGCTATATTTCTCTGGTACCATTTACTGAGCTTTCGAGATGCTTTATGAACCAAAAACGTTATTCACAGTTAAAATTTTGATTAAAAAAAAAAAAAAAAATACTGTGAGCATCTTTGCTTTTTAAAAAAATGAGGAAACAACGAACTTTTCATAAACAACTGCTTCACCCTCGAATTGTGGTTCTGAATCTCATCATTTATCAGACCGTACATCTTCGTGCCTCCGTGTCACTGTCTAATGCCCGTGTCTCTGGTTGGTAGAGAGTCGGTGTTACAGATGAATCACTACTCAAATTCTTAAAAGAAGTTCATCTTTCTTTCTTTTTCTGTTTTTTTTTTTTTTTTTTTT